TTGATCTGATTGGTTCATTGGCGATTGATCTGATTGGTTCATTGGTCAGGGACCTCAGAGGAAATTTCCAGAGATTGAAGGAGGTTTTGGTTCGCCAGCATTCAGAACATGGAGGCCAATCACTGTATAACCGCGGATGTGTTCGCCAGTGATCGGCCTCCATGTTCTGAATGCTGGCGTACCATAAAGAATAAATGATGAACAGTTTAGTTTGTGCCTTCAAGTCGTTGCCCATAGGAAGACGTTACTTGGATATAACCTGACGGAATATCTTCAGAACGGCTCCAAATGACACTAAACTCATATGGGAGAGTAGAACATGATGGAATAACGGAAAATCAAGGACCAATGGAAAAAAACGGCGTTCCCCTTTAAGGAGATGAATAAAGAAACGAGTCGCTTTAAACAATCTAAGTTTAATCAGTTTAGTAGAAAATTCCAGTTAATTGTATTTAATATTTATGTTCCATTAACATGTCTGCTAATCTTTTAATGTAGTTTTACTCCATAAACTGAACCAAAGAGCAGAGAGACTCCTGCATGTGAAGCTGTTTTATTTCTATGTCAATCAGACTCATTAGTGCTGAGCCTCTTTAGAAGATTAACTGTGGATTATAATCCCATCAGGATTTATGGAAATAATTTCACCAAACCAGCCTGGAACCATAATAACTCCCCTTTCATTTAACCTCAGCCTCATGATGCTGCTGCAGCTTTAGCCACACCCACTGCCAGCTAATCAGCCAATGGGCTTTCATTGTTAAAATCTACTACTTCCTTTTTAAAATCAAGTTTTTGTTTAATTAATAATTTAGACTAATCCATAATGTTCAATGTCCTCAGAAAAACAAGATGCTGTTCCTCTACTGAAACACTTTGATTTGGCAAAGATTCTCCAAACTGGATGTTTCCAGTTAAATGACTAACTTTTTAACTGGTTTCCAGTGCTTGATGACGTAGCATAAAGACTGGTTTCAGCAGGTCTGGAGGAGCCAGAGGCTTTCAGCAAAGTCTGCAGAAAAACTCTAAATGTCAGCAAACGAAATCACATGGAGCTCATTGTTGCCATCACACCTCAGCACAAAACCAGTATTAGCAGAAAACCAGTATTACCAGTAACAGACAGCAGAGCAGTCTGACACCAGCTTCAGCGCTGAAGTTCTCTGATCCCTGAAAACTACAGAAAGCATCAGAAACTATCCCAGCTGGTAAAATGGGGAGTAAATACTGGGATTACTCTGGTAACCCCAATAAATACTTTTATTTAGCATCAACATTAATATCTTCTAATGAAATAATTTAATATTTGACTGATTTTATTATTTTTCTTACGCCTCTAGTGTTAATATTTCCAGACTGAACCTTTTAGAGACCAGTCTGCACACTGGTTGTCTTTAAACTGGACTCTGGATTAGTTCCTGTTTCTGCTTGAACAGCAGCGCCTCCTGCTGGATGGCAGCAGCACTACAGCAGGAAATGTTCCAGCAGCTTCTATCAGTTCATCTGATAAAAACGATTTGAATCTAATAAACTGATCATTAAAATGAAGTCGATGGTTTGTTTGATTCTCCTTATTGGATTAATGGTTCAGATCAGCTGATTAAAGCAGCGAAGAGTCCCAGCCGTCCAGGGGCCGGTTGAGGGGCCCTGGGCAAAGACAGGCAGGGGGTCCCTCTGAATGGAGAAGCCATAGAACAGCCTCATTCTCCAGATGTTGAAATGTCAATAGAA